GTAGCCAATTTTATAATTCCAAAACAAGTCTCAATTTGGATCCCAAAATGTGAAAGAATTTTCATTTGCAGGTTTTTCAAACAATTCGTTCTACTTTTCTGTATCAACCAAATGGCTTCAGGATTATTTCGCCTAGCAGCAGCACTTGGAAGAGATGTCATTGTTGCAACCACATGTGCGACATTAGCTTTACTAGCAGTAATGGCGTTGGGCGGATTTGTTGTGGCTCGAGGTAACTTATACGTTTGTTTTGAATATGGCCTAAGTTATTGAGACCGACATTCCTGATTTCCAAAGGAAAAAAAATTCCGTTCTTTCTTATTAGAGGATGTACATCCATGGTGGCTGTGGGGATATTGGGTATCACCAATGATGTATGGACAGAATGCTATAGCAGTGAACGAATTTCTTGGGAATAGTTGGAGGCATGTACGTATTAAAATTCTCTTTGGTTCATATAGAATGTAAAGAAATCCCATCGGCAAAAGCTGATAAAGTTGTTGAAATATGTTACTGCAGGTGCCTCCCAATTCCTCAGAACCATTAGGTGTTTCAGTCTTGAAGTCTCGTGGGATTTTCCCAAAAGCTTATTGGTACTGGATTGGAGTAGGAGCAACAATTGGATACGTTTTGCTATTCAATTTTCTCTTCACTCTGGCCTTGCATTATCTGGATCGTAAGTTATTCATAGCTTACAGTATTGACTTTAATTTATATACGTTACTAAATGTTTGCTCTATTTGCTGCAGCATTTAGCAAGCCGCAAGCAGTACTATCTGAAGACACCTTGGCTGAGACAAATGCTAACAGAACTGGAAAATTCGAACCACCAATAAAGGCAAACAGCTCTTTTGGTGGCTCATCAAATTCAAACCTCTATAATGCAGAAAGAGAAAGAGAGAGTCAAAGTATATCGTCCAGGACATTGTCTATAAGAATTGGGAGCACCAGTGAAAACCAGAATGACAATCGAGGGATGGTTCTTCCTTATAAACCCCATTCCATCACTTTTGACGAAATCAGATATGCTGTAGACATGCCACAGGTATATCTTTGAAGATGTTCAGTGGACCATAATGCAAAATTATATATGAAATGATGATTTTAATAACAAAACAATATTATCTTAAGTGGGAACTTGTCAAAATAGTCGACCATACTTTACATCTCTTATTCCAAATTGACATCCTTTCAGGAAATGAAAGCACAAGGTGTTGTTGAAGACAAACTGGAATTGCTTAAGGGTGTCAGCGGTGCTTTCAGGCCAGCTGTTCTAACAGCTTTAATGGGTGTTAGTGGTGCTGGTAAAACGACTCTAATGGATGTGTTAGCAGGAAGGAAAACTGGTGGATATACAGAGGGAACCATCACCATATCCGGGTTCCCAAAGAGGCAAGAAACATTCGCTCGCATTTCAGGGTATTGTGAGCAAACTGATATCCATTCTCCACATGTTACAGTCTATGAATCATTGCTGTATTCCGCATGGCTAAGATTACCTCCTGATGTTGATTCCGCCACTAAAAATGTATCAATCTTTACTCTCGTTTTAAAATTTATTTACAAGTAGTAGTTATCTTACCTTCGGATTGTTAACTGAATCACTGTGCCAGATGTTCATTAAGGAAGTCATGGAACTCATGGAGTTGACCCCATTGAGAGATTCTCTAGTTGGATTGCCTGGAGTCAATGGGCTTACAACAGAACAGCGGAAGAGGCTAACTATAGCAGTTGAACTCGTGGCTAATCCATCTATAATATTCATGGATGAGCCAACGTCTGGCCTCGATGCCAGAGCAGCAGCAATAGTCATGAGGACTGTGAGGAACACGGTCGACACTGGACGAACCGTAGTCTGTACTATTCACCAACCAAGCATTGATATATTTGATGCTTTTGATGAGGTGAATACTCTTTCATTGGGAAGTTGTTGACTACTTGTTTCTTTTTCTTTGTTACCGGAATTGAAGAAACTTGGAATGCTTCATTATAGCTATTTCTCTTGAAAAGAGGAGGAGAAGCAATATATGTTGGTCCGATTGGTCGCCACTCTTCCCACTTAATTGAATACTTCGAGGTTAGGATACACATATATATATTTATTTATGGTTGAAATTAATTCCATGTTCTCCAGAATCTCTAAAAAGTGTGATATCTCTTCATCAAGGGAATTGAAGGAGTTCCAAAGATCCAGGATGGTTACAATCCTGCAACTTGGATGTTAGAGATCACTTCACCAGCACATGAAGCTGCTCTTGGGGTTGACTTCACTGACATCTATAGGAACTCAGAATTATACAGGTACAATCTAATTATTGTCTTCTAAATCATACACTAAATTTCCACCACTGTCTGGAAGAGTAAAAGACAAGATTTCTTAGTATCAAAAGTTTGTCATACGCAATTTACTAGATCAGCTAATATTATATGGATGCCACCATTACACAGGAGAAACAAAGCCTTGATCAAGGAACTGAGCATGCCTTCACCAGGTTCAAAGGACTTGTCGTTTCCTACTCAGTACTCTCAATCTTTCCTTAACCAGTGCATGGCATGTCTATGGAAACAGCACCTCTCCTATTGGCGAAACCCACCATACACCGCTGTGAGACTTATGTTTGCAACTTTTGTTGCCATTCTATTCGGAACAATATTTTGGGACCTCGGCTCCAGAAGGTAATGGCAGAAACAGAAAGTACTGATGACAAATAGTTTTGATAAATTTGCTTTCTTCATAATCTCTTAAATGCCAATGCAGGAAAACAAGGCAAGATCTTTTTAACGCGATAGGTTCCATGTATGCCGCTGTTCTTTTCATTGGAACCCAAAATTCCTCTTCAGTACAACCAGTCGTGGCCATTGAGAGAACAGTGTTTTACAGAGAGAGAGCAGCAGGAATGTACTCAGCATTGCCATATGCATTCGGACAGGTTACATTTCACTTAAGCTTTGAAAATTTTATCAATGCCAAAAGATGAACTACAACATTTTTCCTTTAAAAATTCAAGTAAACTAAAAAAATTGTCTCCCTGCAGATTGTCATTGAGCTTCCATACGTCTTCATCCAGACAATCATTTACAGCGTCATTGTATACGCCATGATCGGTTTCGAGTGGACACTAACCAAGTTCTTCTGGTATCTATTCTTCATGTACTTCACCTTGTTATACTTCACTTTCTACGGGATGATGGCTGTCGCAATTACACCCAACCACCAGATATCTAGCATAGTTTCCGCTTCATTCTATGCAATATGGAACGTTTTTTCAGGGTTCCTCATTCCTCTGACAGTAAGTTACACAAATTATTCGATCTCATTTCGTTTTCTAACAATATTTAAGTACTTCCTGGTGAGTAGATATCTTCTTACTTACCGCTATTAAAAAATGGACAACTTCTTATGCCTTCATCTCTCTAAGTTGCAACTTTTTAACAGCAGTTAGTATGAGATACTTATTGACTAGTAAATACCTAAATATTGTTATTTGTTTCTTTTCGGCTTCGGTACAAATTTGAAACTTCTTACATGGAATTGAAATTCATGGCAGAGGATTCCCATATGGTGGAGATGGTATTATTGGGCATGCCCTGTCTCTTGGACCTTATATGGATTGGTTGCTTCCCAATTTGGAGATATTAAGGACACTCTTCACTCAGGTGAAACCGTAGAAGAATTTGTAAGGAACTATTTTGGGTACAGCCAGGACTTTCTTGGTGTTGTGGCTGTGGTGCATATTGGGATGCCACTTCTCTTTGGTTTCATCTTTGCCTTTTCAATCAAGGCATTTAATTTCCAACATAGATAGAAACCCGTCACACGTGTCACTAAAACGACGTAGTTTTGCCCCAATATATACGAAACACTACACACTTACATGAATATCCAAGATCTATAATATAGTCATCACGCTTAAATGTCCATTTTTTATTTTTCAATAGAGAAAATGGAAATAAAAATTACATATGATGTGTTTAGATCATTCCATTATGTAAACATTTGTTGATTAGAATTGAAAGGAGAATCATCAATCATCCTGTTATTATATAACGACAATAAATTCAAGAAAAGATGATGCTTAAAATAGGAGAGTGAAAGAAAATTTTATTTATTTATTTATGTATAGCACATTCTTTAAATATCTGCAAAAAGGGGGGGAAAATAGTCGGATTTCCACGATTTAATTGAGAAAAAAGGTTTAAAAGCATGTAAAATTGAAGTATACTAAAATGTATCTAAAATTTTAGAAAATATCTAATGAACGTTGGGAGCACGACTGTTGTGTCCTGCTCTGACGAAAAGCCTTTCCAACATGCGTCTATATAAGTCTTCAAAGACGGCAAGCAACCAATCCCAACCCCCCACCACACGACAAATTATTCGGTATGCTCCGACTTTTTACACCGTTGGATGTATGATAAATTTTTCTTTAAATATAGTTGAATAAGTATAAAATCGTCGACTATGTTTTAGGAAGACGGAAAAATAAATCGATATAGCAAATAGACGTTGGTTTGGTAACCTTACCATCGCTTATTTATTTTTAGAAAAATAGAATTGTATGCTTAAATACAAAATTAGTAAAACAATATTCTTATTCATGATATAACAAATGAATAAGAATAAGAAATTTATTTTTTATTATTTTTAAAAATTTTGTCTACAATTTTGAGAACCTCAAATAAATAAAAAAGATAAATAATTGTCCAAACCTTAGATTTTTTAATAAAATTAAAATACTTTATCAGACAAGCTTTAAATTCTTTATAAGTATAAATAAACTAATAAAATCTCTCAAATTGATAATTATTTTTATTAGTACGAGATTTTTTTTTAGAAAATAAAGTTACGAGCAGAATTAAATTTGGGCCACGTGGGGTTTTTCCAAACTTGCGGGACTTCCCTTGGCGTCGTTCTCAACTACCGTAAACTGACCAACATCCTCCGACGCCGACGCCGCCACCTTCCCTTTTTTCTTTTAACTTCGTTAATTCTTCTCTCTCTCTCCCCAAAAATCAACAGTTATAGAGAGAGAAATCAATGGCTCTCACCACCACCTGCTGCCTGAAGAATCTCAATCCCCCCACACACACGAAGAACCAGTCTGTTTCCTGGTAAAATTCCGACATCAATATATCAATTCTGATTAACTGATTATTATATTTAATTAACTGTGTGTGACGTGGCTGTGCCATTGGGCTGCAGGACTGGAACAATAAACGAAGGGTCGTGGAGAAAACGGTGCGTTTTGGGGGTGGCGGCCGCGGGCGTGGCAATGGCTCTGCAGATGGCCGGAGAAAGTGGCGCCATTGAAATGGATCCGATAACAACCCAGAAGACTATGAAATGGAGCGAAGAAAGAATGTGCCCACAGTGGAGATTCAACTCCCTCGAGACCATTGTGCCCGAGAATCTTCCCAGGCCCTTCGCTCGCCGGAGATGGGACCCCGTCCGCCTTCCTCCAACCACCGCGCCTCAACTTCGAGCTACCCCTTCAGCCACCGCTCCTACCGGTTGCTTCTCTCTGTAGTAATCAAGTCAAACCAAACATAATTCGATAGATAAGACATTATTATTACTGTTCTCAAATGTCATAGTTTCATCTTAATTTTCAAATTAAATCGGAGAATCATACAAATCTAATATAGACACCCCATAATACATACAAAAGTGAATATCTTGAACTTTTGTTTAGTTTAATACTATGTGAATAGAGATTTAAACGCTCTGAGTCGAAAATAAATATTTTTACGCAGTTAAAATTCTGAACTTTCATTTAAATGTTATGTTTTTTTTTTTTTTTTTAGAATATATGCAATAAGGGAGTAACGGGCTCATTTGGTATATTGATCAAAGTTTCAGGAAAATAACAATTTTTTTAATAAAAAAAAGTTTTCCGAGTATTTTTAACATATCTATTTCTAAGAAAGATTAAAAATGTGTGTAGCATTTAACTAAGAGGCCCAGGATACTCAAAAAGGTCCGGCTTAACAGAGTACATGTTTGGGCTTTAAAAGCCCGGATTATGAGGACAACCGAAAGAATGGGCTTAGTCTAGTTTTAAATGAGCCCACAACGAGCTTTTGGATTGAATCAATCTAAGTTGGGCCGTATTCAGGCCACAGGCTCACAATATTTATCAGTAATGGGCCGGCTGTCGAAATGTCCATGTCATGTGCGTGTTTTCTTTTCCTTTTTCCTAAATTTCTAACTATTTTCGGAAATAAATGTTTTTATACCATCCTTAACTATTTTTCTAAGTGACTATTTTTCTTTCAAAAAAAAAAAAACAAACTACATTTCTAAGCATTAACCTATCCGAATGACTCCTCAAAAAATAATAATAATAATAATAATAATAATTATCCGAATGACTATCGTGTTAAGGTAATGAGAAAGTAAATGAAAATAAAAAAACAAAAAAATAATCTACTCCCGAATTAACTTTAATTGATTTGAAATTTCACAAATAAAATATTATTGAGATTGAAGTATAGAAAAGTTAACTTCAAACAATAAATTTCATACCTATTACAAAAGCTTATTAAATTAATGCTTAATTAAAACGTAATGACTTCTTTTATTTAAAATTTCACCCTAATAAGATGTGATAAGTGTAATTCATGTTATCAATCTACTTTAATATTTTTCAAACTGCAACATTGCAGTATAGCTCATTCTATAAATTTTTTAATTGAAGGATGCGTCATCGCTCCAATAATCCAAAATGCCGTACAATCAAATTTCGTGATATTTTCTAACTGAGAGAGAATAAAATTGGAGTGGGCAAGTAGGTGGGATGTGATGGGGAGAATCTAAGTAATAGATTTTTGTAGTGAAAGAAACTTGGAGATGGAAACCAAAGTTGGGATACAACATCAATACATGCCTTGAAAAAAAGAACACACATTATTCTTCAAACTTCACCACTGCCATTTTTATTTTTATGCTTCCTTCTAACACTACATAATATATTATATATTATCACCCTAATTTTCTCTCTCTTTCACTTTTTTCTCTTGTATGTAACAATTAATTAATTAAACTATATTTCCTTCAATTTTTGTATGCACTTTTCTCTATGAGCTTTAATTATCTAACAAATCTGCATGAATTTTCTTAACGACCCAACTCAAAACACTTTGATTCGACTACATATGTCAACATTAGAATAGAAAATCTTGGGAAATTGAGGTGACCCATATGCACAAACACAACTTTTTTCCTTTACTCATTTATTGTTCGTTACAATTCTCGTCACAACGTGCTTTTGAGATGAAACTTCATGAGTATTACATGGTATCAGAATCTCTAGAACTCAAACGAAGATTTGATCTAGAAATAGGATTCGACCAAGACTGGTGAGCTAAAAAAAGCAACTTAAATATAAAAGTGAGAGATTCAACCTATCTAATCCTCTTTTTATTACAAAATGTGGGGTCAAATCGAGCATAACTCAACGATAATTGACATATATCTTTTAACTAAAAGTTGTAAGTTTGAGTTTAGCATAATCAGTTAATAGGATCATTAAATTTATGTTGGTTCGTAAATAATATTAAATACAAAACTATGTTAAAGCCATACAATCAAATGACATAATGATGAATATATTGACGTAAAATGAATAACCAGCCGAGCGGGTTGATTCTTTTGACTAGAGAAATATATATATAAATATGTTGCATGAAAATGAAGTTAAAAAAATAATGATTTTTTAGAAGAAAGAGAGAAGCAAAAAAGTAGAAGCATTATGTAATGATTTTAGAGAAAGTTTGAAACTAGAACATAAAGTATAACAAAATGGCAAATTATTTCTTAGTCAAAGGAAGACATGAACTCAACACATTAAACCAATCATTGCCACAAGAGAATGTGTAGATTGAGAAGTGCTTCTCTAGATTTTGAGTGTACCCAAATTGGGAACATACAATTCTGCCTAAATGCTCAAATGTGTTTGGAATTGCACTATAACCTTTCCCACTACACTTTTTTCATAATGCCTTTCAACTATTACCAAAATAAATAAATAAGAATATATATTTTTCGTGATCCTCATATTTCTAGAGAGTATATTCCTTTTATCTTTTATTTATGAATAACGATGGAAAACTCTTCCATTTATTTATTATCGGAAGGAAGAAAATATATATTCCTCCGGTCAAATAATGGGGCTCGATTGTTTTTGCATCGCACGCAAAAAATCGTCACGAGAAAACCAACATGAGCTTAGTTAGGTGGTAATTGACACAAACTAAGAAGTCTTGAGTTTAAATCTCACACCTCCACTTATTGTACTAAGAAAAAATAAAGATAAATATAACCATAAAATTTTTGTAATTGTACTGTATTGCATAAATTTAATATTGTTTTAAAAAACGTTACAATTTTTAATTTTTTTTTCAAATATAGTATATATTTAACTTCTTTTTCACTGTAGTTTATATTATATTTGAGTTTAAGTTTGATTTGGGCTATACTATTTTTATAAAACTTTAAACTTTACGCTTTATATGTGAAAATACACCTTCGTTCATTTTATGCTATCATTGAGGTATACGACTCTTTTTATTTTTTCGATTGGGATTCCCATTTTT